TTAGAGCAATTGGGAGAGAGATTTTCGCACATTCCAATAATCGTGGGTGGTGATCTTAACGCACAGACAGGCGAGCTAGATTATGATAATGGAATAGGGTGTAGTCAAAGATTTCTATTGTCGAGAAAGTCTCTAGATAAAAATGTTAACCCGCGAGGCAAAAAAATTATGGGGGTTATGAATTGTAATAACTTTGCGCTGCTAAACGGTAAATTTTTAGGAGATTACCCGGGACAATTTACGTACCACGGTATGTTTAGATCTAGCGTTATCGATTATGCCACAAGATCGGATCATTTACCTTTAATTATCGAGTTAAATTTGACATCCGTAAAAACAAATAAATACTTTAATGAACAAATTATTGCTTTTAAATCGCTAAAATGGAACAACGATCTTGTGGAAAATTATAAACATATTATGTGGGATAATCAAAAAACAGAAAACTTTGGTGAAACTGTAGATGACATTAACGCAATTCTTGTAAATACTATTAAAAAAGTTGGCGAGGAAGCGGGCATGTTATATAAAAAACAAACATCAATAAAGACAATAGAAAAATGCTTTACTAAGCCGTGGTACTATGCGACCTGCGGGGAGGCCAAGAGGGGGGTCGAGGCGTGTCTTAGACGATGCAAAATTTCAGGTTTTGACAGTAAAGACGCAACAGAATACAATACGAGCAAAAAAAATTTTTGAAAAATTTTAAATGAAAAAGAAAAACTATTTTTTAAAAATCTTTCGGAATCTATAGATAATTGCCGAGATTCTCAAACTTTCTGGAATTTAATCAATAGATATAGACCAAGACTGAATTCTTCTAATGACATAAATCTTGACCGATGGTTTGAATACTTCAGCCTCCTCTTTCCTTCCCGGACCAGTTGTTCTATATCAGAATTCAAGGGTGTTTAGCACCCCCTTACTAGATGATCGGATCACGCACGAGGAGCTAATGTGGGCATTAAAAAATTCCAACCCAAATAAATCTCCAGGTCCAGACGGTTTAAATTACGAATTCTATAAAAATCTCCCAATAAACTGGATATATTACATAGAAAACTTATTTAACAAAGTTTTGTCAGACGAGGTGGTTCCTCTTGCGTGGTCCGAAATGCATGCCAGTATGCTACACAAAAAGGTGATAAAAATGAATCTGCCAACTTTCGACTTATCTCGTTAATAAATTGCATTTCAAAACTATTTACTCAGGTTCTTAACGAAAGATTGGCAAAATGGAGTAACGAATGTGACGCACTCCCTTAGTTCCAATCAGGCTTCCGAAGGGGTAGGGGATGCATTGACAACATCTTTATTGTCAATTCGCTAGATCAAATTTATTTAAATAAGAAAAAAGGTAAATTGTATGTCCTATTCGTTGATTTTGTAAATGCATTCCCTTCAATTAAACACAGTCTTTTATGGCAAAAATTGCTAAATATCGGAGTGAGTTATAAATTCATTAAAATTTGTAAAAACTTCTACGATAATGCCATTATATCAGTCAGATCACAGAAGGGTATAACGACACCAGTTGAGGTCTCAGAAAGCGTTCTCCAGGGAGAGGCTTTAAGGCCTTTACTTTTTTCTTTATTTTTAAACGACTTTGAAACATTTTTTAGAGAAAGGGGCCTGAAGGGCGTATCTGTTGACCACAAACAAGATATATTATGCACAGCATATGCCGACGACCTTGCTATTTTTGCAACTAATCCTAACGACTTGAAGAAAAAAAACTGCACTAAATGCACTTTTAAAACTGTTATACAGCACTCCTGTTAATAACTGGGACGTTAAAGAAAAATTACTGATCTCTCTAGCAACCAGTATACTAATGTACGAGATAGAAGTTTGGGGAGTGCGTCTTTTAGCAGAAATTGATTCAATACAGACCACATTCTACAAAAGACTTCTCTCACTTCCCTTGTATTGCCCGAACTATGCAGTGAGACTCGAAGTCGGTGCCCCTCCCTTATCTAGTGTTGTGATTAGACGGATTTGTAATTGGGTGGAGAAATTGCAGAGTATGCAGCCTGCCAGATATCCTAAAATTTGCTTCAACCAACTGAAAGATTTATCTAACACAATTACCGCTAATAATAAATATAACTGGTTTTCTCAAACAGAAAATATTATTAAAGTAATTGATCCTACCCTCCACTTTTCACCATCTAATATAAGTAACCAAAAAACCAAAATAATAAAAACTTGTATTGAAAAACGGGTAGCCGAGGACAGAGAAAGAGTTGCACAATCTCGCAGCCTCCAGGTTTACTCTGCAATTTCGTTGGAAACGGGAAGACAATCCTATCTTAATTTCAAAATACCGACATATAAAATAAGAGCAATGCCACAGTGTAGACTTGCAAGTAATATTTTAGAAAAAATTATAACAAATAACAAGAGATTCTTCTATAAAACAAACGAAAACTGCAATCTATGTTTTCGTCCACATGTGGCAAATTTGAATCACTTCCTGCTGGAATGTTCAGTTTTTAACGACATCAGGAAAAAATTGTTAATAAACACTAATGAGAGTGTATTAGAATTACTTAATGCGAAAATTAAGAATAATGTCAACAAAATGTACGAGTTTATTCTAGAAATTGTAAAACAAAGTTAATATGATAATTGTCAACACGAAACCCATTTGTATAGCTTAACCGCTTAAAGCAAATAAAGTATATATTGTTTATTTCCCGCACTAAGGGTTGAAATTGTTGAATTTGTCTATAAAATACAAGTGAATATTCCACGATTAGTGAAATCTATTGAGTTATAAAAATTCATTGAAAAAGGAACATTAATTTTACAAGTAAAAAAAATTATAAATGCTAAAGTGCAATATCACGTTTGAAATTTAAAAGTGTTTGTTTCATATCGCAATTATTTATATATCAAATTAACTGTTTCAAAAATTCAGGTTTGGTGAACCCAATACTCTGGTGGCGATCAAATCTTCTTGAATGATTTTAATTTATTTTTGGACATTAAAAAAAATAATTGATTATTAAACATATAGTTTAGAAAATGGTACACAGACAAGTACACATGACACACACTCACGAATTTGTTACACATTAGGAAAATTAATTATTATAATTTTAGGTTGTGCTCTGATTTTTAGAATATTTTAGTATTTCACTAAAATTGTCTGATTTCTTGCAGTTAGACAAATTTAGAGTTCAGGTTCATTACCTGAGACACTTTTAGCATCTGCCATTTTATGGTCTTATTGTTTAGCTCGTTGCAAGTTGAGACTTGCAACATTTTAAATAGCTGGGGAAAATTACAGAAGTAAGATGAGTCATTTTTGCCTACCTTTGCCTATCCCTTCCGAATTACTCAGGTCTAATTGAGTCAGTCCCTTTTGCGTCATCGAGCAGAGCACAACCAGAGCACTCATTTATTTCCAATAAAATATATTTAATAATACCATCTTATTTTTAATACTTGCACCTTCAAACACCAAACTCTGCATTTTTAAAAGGCAGATTTTGAAATATTGAAATAATTGTTTAAAGGAAGTATTTAATACAAGTTATCAAAGTAAAGAAGGAAAATATAAAGAATAAAGGAAGTTAAAAAGACTTCCGCATACTTGGGAATCGTATATCAAGTACGAGTGTTAAACTCTCAAGAGTTCGAAAAGTAATTTGATAATTTTTTGTAACATTTCAATTATTATTATTCTGGTGAATTGCTCAAAATATCCATACATTATATGAGAAAGATAGAATCTTAGAAAGAAAAACAAACATACATTATTACACACATCTTAAACACACAAATTGTTTTCTTATTAATGAAAATTTCTTTTATTTGGTCTCTTTGTTTTACTTGCAATAAATTATTCTTGTGAGACTTGATTTTCAGTCAAGTAGCTTAACGTAAATGTTGCTTTAATTGTAATCATTTTATTAAAGATCAATTGGTGAACTGAATGTATATTTTTGGGGGTTGAATGAATAAACGAATTTCTTTTGTTGTGCTAATTACGTTTTCATTTATTTAGTCAACTTTTTGATGTCTTTATTATATCTCTCTTTTTGAGCATTTTATCTAAAATACTGTCTATCCGGGTTTATTGAGTTGATAATATACTAAGGGACTGTCCACTACCTTTTTCTAACGTTGTTAGCGAAAAGCAATTTACGCTTTACCTATGAGCGCAGTTTTTAATAATAAAAATTAGTATTCTTTCTAAACATTATTATTTTCTCTTTAAATTATTTATTTTATTTTTTTGTTAATTAATTTCCTTCTTTAACATCCATAAATACTAGAAATCTCCTAGAGTATATTCCAATTACTATCAACCCCAAAATGATCAAAATTAATACTTGACGACCACCCCTTAATAAACATTTAGATAAAACAATCCAAATTAAAAATATCATAAACAGTAGCATATTAAGTTGTAATGTACTATAAAAGGACCTAAAAATAATGTTTTTTTCAAAAAATGGCTGCCAGACGAATGAGAATTTGTCTGGTCACAACACAATTTCCGTTACAAATTGAGAAATCTTGGTTAATAGAATAACATATTAAATAAAACGCGCGTGGCATCACATGTAGTTCAGTTTAATTAACAACAATAACGAACTGTAACATTATCAGAATGTTGATTTTTAATAATTTTAACATGTTTTCAACTGCCAGACGAATGATAACAAAATCTAGGGACAAAATTCGAGAAGATATTTTATAAATAAGGTATAGAGTAATGTCATAACTATTTCCACATTAATAATCTACAACTGTTCAACATTACTAATGCAGTATGAATTTTCTGCTAAACATTTGAAAAATAAAATTTTTTCACAATATGAACTGTCATTTGCACTACGGGACATGCCAGAAAAATGAGAAATTTAGGACTTTGATGTGTATTTGATGTGTATTTTTTAGTGCCACAATAGAAACAATTAAGATTTACAATTTTCATCAAAAATAAAATTATTTTTTTCAAAATTAATATACAAAATAAGCCTCACCAGTCAAAATTCACTCGTTTGTAGAATCACCTATATAAGAAAATGAGAAATTTTACTATTACTAAACTTTGTTTTTAAAAATACATAAATTTGAAATTTAAAGATAGAAAAATATATAATTTTAACTGCATGCCATTAAGATATATCTTTCTTTTATTTTTCATTTTGCATGCATTTTACATAAAAAAAATATTTAAAAATTTTCCTCAAAATTTTATTAGTTTCTGAATATTTTTTATTTATTGTTCTTTTCAAATAAATATTTTTTTCAACACAAATTTTTTAAGAAGTAAAATTTTTTCTTAAATCTATTACAAATTTATTTTTATCTTCAAATTTTTAAAACTCAATTTATTTAACCCGTAAAGGTAATATGGGGTCAGAATGACACGAGAAAAATTATTCTGCTAGATCTCTTAAAATTGGTCGTTCAAAAAGATAAATTTTAAAATTGACAATTATTTTTAATAAAATAAATGAATTTTCTAACTTTAATTTGGATTTTTTGTTCGAAAGTATAATATCCAATGAGTTTAAAACCAAAATTATGTTTATTTTATTTTAAGAATTAAAAAATGGACATATAATTTTTCGTGTTTTTGTGGATTCTGTTGAATTCTCATAGAGGTTGTTTTAGTTCCAAGGATTGCACTTCAGAATATGTTCAGACATCTTTGATGACTTCAAGAGTCGTTTAAACATGTTAATTAAAGATTTATTTTTTTTTTAATTTTCTAGACAATTATTTCGAATTTGTTTAAATAAATATTCGACAAAAACATTTCTGTTATAATTTTAAAATTAACCTATAATATTTTCTTGGATGATTTTTTATAAGATAATTTTAAAATTATCGACCAAAACTTTTCTGACGGAAGTCAGAATTTTATTTATATAAATAAAGAAAAATTACTTTAATTTAATAAATAATTGATTAATAATAATTAATAAAAAACTTTGTTAGTAATTTAAAGTTATAAATTAGTTTGTAGCAGATTTACGAAAAGAAGTTTTACTACTTTAAAATTTATTGGTTTTGAAAAATATATCTATATGAAAAGAACAATAAATAAGAAATCTAAGGTTATAAAATTTTAAAATTTTTTTTTATGCATAATGCACACGAATTTAAAAACAAATATCTTAATCGCATGCAGTTTACATTAAATATATTATTTTATTTTTCTTAATATTGTTGGTTTTTTTTATATTTTTTATTTATAATTCTAGATTTCAATTACAAATTAATAATTTTTTCCTAATTCTAAAAAGTAAAAATTTTTTTAAGTTAAGATAGAGAAAAAATTTTTACCTTTTTGAATTTAGAAAATGTTATTTAATTTAAAATTTCTACTGGTTTTTTAACATAAATAAATATTTGTTTTTTGGACATAAAAAATGTTTTGGTAGTTAAATATAGCGACACAGATGAAATTTGATTTTAATAATTTTGTGAACTGTTGATATTTAAAAAAATAGAAATTTTACAACTTTAAAACTTTGTTTTCAAAAATACGAAAATTTGTAATTCAGATCTAGAATTATAAATAAAAAATATTAAAAAACCAACAATATTAAGAAAAATAAAATAATATATTTAATGTAATCTGCATGCGATTAAGATATTTGTTTCTAAATTCGTGTGCATTATGCATAAAAATATGTAAAAATTTTATAACCTTAGATTTCTTATTTATTGTTTTTTTCAAATAGACATATTTTTCAAAACCAATAAATTTTAAAGTAGTAAAAAATTTCTTCGTAAGAAAAATTAATAACAATTTTTAATGAAGAAATGAAAACAAATGGATATTTGAAAATTTGATGAATTTAATTAATTTATAATTTTATTATTTATTAAAAACAACTTTTTAATAAAACTGTATTTTGTACAATTTTAAAAACCAATTATTTCAAGAGAAAATTTGTTGTCATATAATGTAATTGTCATTTGGGGTCAAGCGGACAACAGAACAGTTGCTATTCCCCTTCCACTTAATTCTGTAACTGAATTTTAGTTAAAGATCTAATCTATAAAAAAAGATCTAATCTATAAAATCCAATACTGTTTTTCTTAATTTAAAATTTTCTGCATATTGAAAAAAAAGAAATTGCAATTTCTTTTTAAATTAATTAATAAACAATTTAATTCTTAAGATAAAATGAACATAATTTTGGTTATAAACTCATTGGATATTATACTTTCGAACAAAAAATTCAAAATAAAGTTAGAAACTTCATTTATTTTGTTAAAAATAATTGTCAATTTTAAAATTTATCATTTTGAACGACCAATTTTAAGAGACCTAGCCAAAAAAGTTTTCTAATGTTATTTTGACCCCATATTAACCTTACGGATTAAATTAATTGAGTTTTAAGAATTTAAAGATAAAAATGAATTTGTAATAGTTTTACGAAAAAAATTTGTGTTAAAAAAATATATTTATTTCACACGGTGCGCGGGAACGAGCTTAGAAATTTACAAAAATGACGACAAAATCTGATAGTGCCATCTTTTTTATCACTTAAAATTATGTAAGAAAATGTTTTTCCCAAAATCTAAATCGCAGAGTTTCGCGTTTTTTAAATCATTTTGTAAAAAAATAACTTTTTAACACTAAATCTTTTTTAATGCTTTACACTTTTTTATATATAGATGATTAAGATTAATTATTCTTATTTTAGCATAAATTATGAAATTGGTGATAAAATACAAAAGTTAAACTTTTTATAGATGACAAAAGAGATCATGAGCTACTGCTCAAATTTAAACACCGCGTGACATGGTAATTTGCTAGTAGTCCAGTCAAGTTAGTCTAAAAACAAGGCATATCATGTTTTAACTCAGGACCTCAATTTTTTTCCCTTAAACCCTTCATTTTGGGGTAAAAATAAAGTACCTAAATTTGGTACTTCGAACTGCTACCAGAACCTAACATTTTTCTTTAGAAATAGGTGCATAAATTCAGTTTTTCAAATTGACGCCTTTCATGACATTTTAGCATAAAAATACTTTTTATAAAAAAGAAGGTGTATCAAATTCTGAGTAATTTGATAAAAAATAAATCCTGTAGCTCAAAAATTGAGCGAGATATAGCTTCCGTAAAAAACACATTTTTTTTGAGATTTTAGCTAAAATGAGGTATTTATCAGTTTTTCCAATATAGCTTTAAAAGAAATAATTTTTTGAAAAAATTGCCTAACGGGAAAGTTAAAGCTGACAAAATTCCTAACAATTTGCAAAAAAGAACAATGCAATAACTCTGATAGTTTCCGAGATACAGTCTCTCAAATATCACCCTTTTGAAATTTTACATAGAATCTCATTTTATTACCATTGTATGTAAAATCTCAAATGGGTCAACTTTGAGAGACTGTATATCGGAAACTATCAGAGCTATTGCATTGTACTTTTTTGTAAATTGTCAGAAATTTTGTCAGCTTTTATGATAAAATGTCATGAAAGGCGGCAATTTGAAAAACTGAATTTTTGCACCTATTTGTCAAGAAAAATTTTAGGTTCCGGTAGCAGTTCGAAGTACCAAATTTAGGTACTTTACTTTTACCCCAAAATGAAGGGTCACGCGGTGTTTCAATTTGAGCAGTAGCTCATGATCTCTTTTGTCATATATAAAAAGTTTAACTTTTGTATTTTATCACCAAATTCATAATTTATGCTAAAATAACAATAATTAATCTTAATCATCTATATATAAAAAAGTGTAAAGCATTAAAAAAGATTTAGTGTTAAAAAGTTATTTTTTTTACAAAATGATTTAAAAAACGCGAAACTCTGCGATTTAGATTTTGGGAAAAACATTTTCTTACATAATTTTAAGTGATAAAAAAGATGGCACTATCAGATTTTGTCGTCATTTTTGTCAATTTCTAAGCTCGTTCCCGCGCACCGTGGCTAATAGAGCTTATGAAATTCCTTGGTTTTTTGTTCCAGGTCTTAAGGGGAGTCACAACCTTTATTTTGACACACTTAAATTAAAATTATTAAACGAGGTTATATTTTTTTCTTGCATCATTTGGGTCCTAAAAACATATAAGGTGGTCAAAAAGAGAATATTTTAATTTTTGACCATTTTAGAATTTTTATTTTTTGAAAAAATTAATATTTTTGAAAATCCATGCAAGAGATTATAAAGAATCATTAAAAAAATGTGGAATGTTTTGTAGTAAAATTTCAAGTAAAAAAATTGTTTTTACACTTCAATTTGCAGTTAATATGCCCTCTAAAAAGGAATTCTCTTCCTTTCTTCATTTTCCCAAAATTCATCATCACAGATAGGTCTTTTTTTGGCCTCTAGAGTGGTGTTACCCATTCACGAAAACACTACAAATATTTGAGAGACTTTATTTTTGGTGTATATCAATTAAGATTAAGAATTAACTTTTTTGGCAAGGTCCAATTCGAATTTGTTGCTAAGTGGGATTCACTGAAGCCCAGGGTGTATGCATTTCAATTGAACTGAATTAGTTTTCATTTGCTGGGTTGTTATGTTTTGCAGTATTCCATTTGAGCGTTCCAATTCCATAACTCGTTCGACGCTTGGACCATAAAATATCCAAAATACAATCCAAAGTAGATCTTTAAAAAAAACTTCCCACCTCAAACTGTTGTCTTTTTTGTCAAATTGTTTAAAACAATTACCATTGAAAATCTTATTAAATTATGTGTCTAATTATATATTGCTGAGACTAACTAAATACCTTATACAGTGTAAGTATATAGTATAATATCTTCTTCAATATAATATCAAAGTACATTTAATAAATTAAAAAAGTTTATAACTGAATTTTAAAAAAGATAAAATAGAAATATAACGGTTTAGAGAAAGTTGATTCCATCTAATAAAAAAAGTAATAGAAAGTATCCAGGACTGCGATAAAATAAGAAGAAGCAAAACCGAAGAATTTCTTAAGAAATAGCAAAAGTGAATCTAATTTATATGATTGAATAAATCTCAGAAAAAGAGTCGAGTATAAAATAAGAGGCTTGGAACTTGGTTTATGGTAACAACAGGGCGTGAGGGGAGTATGGAGGGTGTTCGGGGGTAAATAAAAGAACAGGGTTGGTGCTTTTTGCATTAAACAGAGAGAGAATGTAGGCAAGACTGCCTGTGGCTAATCATCATCATCTCTGGGTGGTCGGCAATTTTATTTTGCGACGAATTGAAACTAGTTTTAATCGACCGACTCATTTTACGTGTCCCCTTGTAGTACATGCTAACATTTTACTGCCTCTTCCATGCCTCTCCTAACCTCCTTCTATCCTATTCTAACTCATTCCATTTCGGTCCCAGACGATCTAACTTGTTTCATTTAATCCTCGCCATACTATGCAAATATAATATAGGTATACATATAAATACCCTGCACTCTGACAAGTCAAGGAAGATTTCTTTTTGTATCTCGCTTTAAATCATCATTTCAATATTGCTGTAATTACTGATTTTGTTTACATAAATTAACTACTAGTAAAATTTGCAAGAAAATCATGTTAAACAATTAATCCTTTAAATCAAGATTTAAAGTTAAATACAACCACTTCAATTGTTTTTTAAATAAGATAGGTAATATTAAATTTTTGAAACTTGAGTTGAAATTCGTTTACTGAATAACAATTACAATAATTAAATTTTTTTATTTAATAAATTAATAAAGTGTTTTTACAATTTTATTTTAATGATAACCTTTAATTGTTTACATAAGATATTTAAATCCTTTTATTAACAAGCTTACTTAAGGTCATGTGATTGTTGTGATTCTAAACGTAAATATTCTCCGCAGGTTTTTTCGTAAAATACTTGATAAATTGAGCTTAAATTTTGTAACGAATTCAAATAAGGATTTGTTGTCATGTACCAGGTAATATTAACATTTCATGAAAAAATTTACTCTTAAAAAATTCACATTCATGAATTTAATTCAGTTCCTATTCGCCCCTTCAAATATGCAATTTTTTGAAAATAGATTTTTCAACAAAACATTAATATATTCAGGCACATGACAATGAATCAGACTATTTTTGAGTAAATTTTAGCTCAATCTATAAAATAATTTGCGAGAAAACCTGCGGAGAATATTTACACGTAAATCCACAACAATCACATAACCTTAATACACTTCTGATATTTGTAAATTTATAGAACAATATCCCTGGCGAATGGCATGAAGGGAATCTGTTTTTTTAAAAATTAATTAAATTGGTTTATTCTAAAGGCAAGGTCTCTGTTAACTGTTAAAATGAATCCAATTACAAAATAAATATATTAATTAAGAGAAAAAGAAGAACAAATATGAGTATTGAATTACTAAGGGGCCATCCATAAACTACGTTACCGGTTTTCATTCTTTTAGGCCCCCTCTTCCTTCTATACAATTGCGTTAAATGCATTTTTATAGACTTTTTGACCCCCTCCCATCTAAAATAGATAACGTAGGTTATAGATGGCCCCTAACCTTCAGAAATTCTTCGGGTTGCTCCAGACAGAGAAAAGGACAGTTTTTATTAGAATTATTCAATTTTTTAAAATAAAGACACATTATAGCTTAAACAATCAGCATAATCTAATTTGTGTAAATAAATTTAAAACTGTTTTTATAAGAAGTAAATAAAAAATGTGTTAATACATTAAAAATATAAGTTACATTGAATAATACACCATATGTAATTAACCATTTGAGCGTCATGGCGTTCTAATTGGCGTCGCCAGTGGCGGTGATAGAAGCGTCAAAAATGCAAAAATGGCGGTCCTACTTGAATTCAATTTGTAAAGCCTGTAGATGTATTTAAATAACCAAAAGGTTTTTTGAGACCAAGGAAGAAGAATAAGCTACGAAAAAGTTATTTTTTAAAACATTCAAATGGTTTTTTCGAGTTTTAAAGTTGACAATTTTCAGTATTTTTTTGTGAAAGGCGTTCTAATATATATTCGACTTTAAATAAATTCGAAAAAACATAAATATAACATAAATAATCTTAACTAGTATTTAATTAGAATAAAAAATAATAATTAAATGTCAAATTTACAATATGTTGTGAATTGGAAAGTGATTTTACCAACAATACTGCTTATAATAATAGACGAACGTTTCCCACATTAGATGGCAGTCTACCTTTTGCGACATTATCAAAAATGCTATGCTTTATGTAGTTAAGTAAAAAGCCTAATTAAAGAGTTAGAATAGTTGCTAAGAAGTTGTTAAATAGCAGTGTGAAAGCTATCAGGAAGAATGTTATATTTTAAAAATTTAAATTTTAGTATGCTATATTTTATTAATAACGTTGATTTTATTATAATTGAATAAGATCTGTGTAATATTGTTTCTAAACTTCATTAAAATTATTATTACTTGTTGCGATAATGAATAGAGAATAAATAAGAACATTTTTTCTCTAGATACATATTATTTATTGAGAGCAAACAATCTATACGATGCGCATGTCAATTATAATTGTAAATTTAAGTGATATGATTAAAGAACATGTGTTGTATTGAAATTCTGTGGCTTTAATTATAGAAAATATGAAAGGAACTAATCTTTATGAATTTCACAGTCTAGAAAATCCATTTAAAATGTTTTTTTTTAAATTTAGAGGAAATTTAGATTACCTCTATTACGATGTGGAAAAATTACTTCCGGCTAACGCTTATAGAAATGTTAGCTTATTTGGATTGGCGGTCTAGTGACTTTTACCTACTTTGTCAGACATTTTGATTTTATTTCTCTTTCTATCGTGTTAATTAAAGGAATACGAAACAGTAACATGGTTGTCAGAAATAGGTAAAAACCACATGACGTGTTGCAGTTTAGCCAATCCCAATAGTGAACATAAATTTCACTCAATTCAACACTATTAGAAATATATCATGAAAATTCAACAACATAGAATTGAAATTTCAATAACACAGCTTTTAAATAAATACTTATTAAATTTTTTGCCTTACAATCCATACAAATAATAATACAATAACCTTACAGCAATATGTTGTGCTATATGGGATAATAGAAGATTTTTGATCAATTTTTGTTCTTAATTTCTAAAATTCTTTTAGTGACGTGTTTTTTAATAAATTTCCCTGGATAATTGTTCAATCTTAAAAAATTTTAACCAAATAAATGTTCTTTTTGTGAAATCATTCATCAGATAGAATAATTGAGAAGCCGGGAGGAACAACTCGCCGAGCGCTCGACTGGATGTTCTAAAGCCAGTCAAACGACCCAAAATTTTCGAAAAATTGAATTTCGAAATTTTGATATTTAAAACGTATTACCCTGTTTAATATAATAAGGGGCATCTTTTTTTCCTTTGACTTTTTTTCACAGGATAAAAACCTTGGATATTAAATGCAAAAAACTGAAAACTTTTTTTTACGAATTTCATTAAATTTTTAAACTTAAATCGTCTTACCTTTGACAAATGTTAATGAAATTACTTGTCATTTCGTATACACACTTATTAGAGTACATAGAAGGCGACAGCATAATAATAAATTAGAAAATTATTTATTTTTTAATAATAAGTAATTATAAATAGTGAACAGTCGGTAATCGCGTTTTCTAACCTTTGACGAAAAAAGGTCAGTGGGGAAGTTTAAAATTAAAAAAACTTCCAGTGAGACATTTGTTTATCATAATATAAGGAAGTTTTCTGGAAATTTTCAAATCGATTCATTTATAAATTTTAAAAATATAAATGTTTTTCCAAAAAGCGGCGAAGCGCTAGCGAGACGCCACGCGGATCGAATCATTTACAGTCGCTTGAATATATATTTTCTCCTAATGAATAAGTCAAAACGAAACATAAAATGAAAAATAAAACAAAATAAAAATAATATTGATTTATCTTTTTCAACTTATTTTGTTTCATATACAAAAAGTTAAGTATTAATAACACGTTCTTTCAAGCGACTGTAAATGATTTATATTACCTCTGCATAAATTCTTGTGTTTTGGATAAGTTTGGAGGGTAGTAATATTGAAAACAATAATACGAAACAAAAGTAATATATGGGCGTTTCCACGTCAGATTTCAGTTCATATTTTTAATTCGGTCAAAATTATTTTTTTTTATTCTTTAGTGAAAAAAAATAAATACGTATTTTTTTATTTTTTTATAAGTGGACAAATTTTTGAATTGCGAATTATCTAAATTTTAGTTTTTTAAAAGTAGACCTATTTTCAATGCCTTAAACTCTGAAATTATCGAATTTAGAAAAAAATTGCCAAGAGAGGAAAAGTTTTAGTTTTTTCTCAATTTTTGAATAATGTTAAAGAAAAAAATATTTTAGCAATTTTTATTAAAAACATAACAATTTTTTATAAACAAATTAATTTTTTTTTAATTTGGGCCACTTTTTTCCAATTTTTTTTTATTATAAACTTAGAAATAGTATAAATATTTTGCAAAAAGTTTTGAAGTGGGCCTGATGAGTTAAATAAGTTTAAATGAATTTTTAAACTCTTCCTATTCTAATCATATATATGGATGTGTTCATTACTTTTGCAGCTTTATAAGCACTCACATTTGTAGGCAACAGGGTTAAAATTTGCATTTTCTCTTCCTCACTGGTGTCAATTCTATGAAACTTTTTTTTAAGTTCGAAAACTAATCGAGAAGAAAGTTCCGATTCATCCTTTAAAACAAAAATTAATGATTTAATTTAATTTAAAAAATAAATAATCAGATTATTAATTAAAAAATTAATAATATTAACTTAACTTATTACTATAAACATTCTAAACTTACATCTGTATCCTCATAAAGTGAAAAACTAACATCACTATCTCCAAATAAATCAGATTCTGAATCGAATAAAACGATACCACTGTTGTTGTAATTAGCTGTTGATATATTTAAAAATTTAGATAAAAATTTAAAAGTGATCAAATCTATTCTTACAATAGTCTGTAGCAGTCATTTTTTTTACAAGAGGAACACACAACATCATTCGATTTTAAGAAATTAAATTTTTCTAATAGTGGCCCTGATACCCGTCGTAAGCTTTGTGTCTTGCTGTGATTTTTTTCATTAAAAGGATTGCAACATCTACTTTTATATTTTTCCGACATTATAAAGAAATCTGACATTAAAAACTTTTTCTTACATTAAAAACCTTTGAAACAAAATAAAGTTTCGATTTCTGTTTCGGCGATATAAGTGAAACAGTTGAGCGACCTCGAGTCCTGTTTGAGCATGCACATAACGCAGCGCGCCTAAAGCTTGCACGCGGAGTTTTCTTTCGTTAACATTATTCAAAAATTGAGAAAAAACTTTTCCTCTCTTGGCAAATTTTTTCTAAATTCGATAATTTCAGAGTTATAAGGCATTGAAAACAGGTCTACTTTAAAAAAACTAAAATTTAGATAATTCGTAATTCAAAAATTTGGCCACTTATAAAAAAATACGTATTCATTTTTTTTCACTAAAGAATAAAAAAAAATAATTTTGACCGAATTAAAAATGTGAACTGAAATCTGACGTGGAATCGCCCATATATTCTTTCCAACACATTTATTGTTTGTTTCATATTTTCTTTTCCTATGCATACATAGCATTTAGCTGATTCTTCGTGCAAGCACTTTCCTGTATTTAAAAAATAGTATGGTTTATATTAATGTATGATAGATACCTTTAACAACTGTTACGGCGTAACAATAAAAAATTGTATTTTCTATTTGAAGTAAAATCTTAAATACTATAATTACTTTTTATAATATCTCTTAAGGGATTAGGGATAAAATAGAATCATCAATGTGTTTGAAAGGGAAAAACCCAAAAATTATATTACTGTAGAATAAACATTTAATAAAAATTGCCTGTAAATATTCAAGATTTTATCAGCAAGTTAGTTTATGTCTTTATTTGGGTTCTTGAAATAACACCATTAAAAATGTGCAAATATAAAATTTCAAAACCAACCACTTCTAAATTGCTGAAAACATACCTGGGATTGTGTCTAAAGGTGGTCATTCGAACCATCCTCTAACTGTTAGAGAAGGGGTAGTTGCACCCCCACCACATTAGAAGGCCCAGGTAATGAGAAAGGTAGATAGGAACCCTTAAGAGAATTCGCATTCACAAAAAATCGCTCAAAATGAAAAGCAGTAAAAAGCAGTAATTTTAAGTAGACATTGTATCAAAACTATTGTGTTTAAATAAATTGTTTTAATTTATCTTAACCATTTTAAATTCAATTTTTTTTTACCATCACAATACACAACATAATTTGGTCCTTCGAGCCGGATTCTAGTTCCGGGAACTTAGTGCAAGTGTATTCGAAACCCGAGTATATGGTCATAAGTGATGTTTAGTGCAATTTCAGTTCAATTCAAACTACAGTACACATTCTAATTACACGGAAAAACGCTAAACAGTGAGATTTAAGGCTTACATTCCGGAAAATAACTATATTTCAAATCAAGTGATTGTGACTAGTAAAACAAAACATTTAAATGTCTATACTGCTAATATCATTTAACTTAGTGAAAACTATGGAACTTATTAAATATCAATAATTTAATAGAATAAGTTTAAGTTCCAATATACATAAATCAAATCATCAGCATCGTCAATTTCATCAAAAAGACTTGTCCATCAAAGGAGTGGAGCAGCGATCCCTATATCTGTATTCATCGCAACTTGTGGACAATCATTCCAAAGGCAGAAGATTAAAGTAAGTCAAAAGAACTTAACTCTTTCAATTCTTTCTTTAATCCTTAAAAGGTGTTCGTTATTGTTGTGTGTGAATATTGTTCATAAAAAATTAAGATGGCTGATGAACAGCTTAAATTGTTCAAAAAACAACGCGGAAATATTAAGCGTCTTTTAACATGTTCGGAAACTGTATTAACTTCAATAAATGAAAATTCTGATTTAGAGTCACTTAATTTAGAAGAACGTTTAAAGAAACATATTCGTCTGTGGTAGTCATTTGATAAAATTCAAACAAAAATAGAAAATATTTTAGATGAAGAGACAGAAATTATTGGTCACGAAAGGGAACGCACGTCCTTTGAAAACAGGTATTTCGTAATAAGCGGTTTATTTAATAAATTTATAAAAAAGCAAAGGGAGAACATAATAAGTGAATACCCGGATCAAATAACTCGACCGACGCTCGTACGATCGCTCTAATGGTAGTCAAGACCGACAAAACATGGCAAAAAATAAAAGTCGGCAAATTGAA